GGTTTCGGAAAAGGATAGCTTGTTCCTATCTTGGGATAAATAATCAGAGCGCCATGGACAGTTGCTCGCAACCATGTGCTATGAGCATGCCACCACAAAGTTCCTTCTTCGGTAGTAAAAATGATCTTCTGCCTAAATTTTGCTCCTGGTTGAATAGGACACTGAGTGATGTATTCCGGACCATCAGACCATGGATTTCTTGGCTGTTTCACTCCATGCCTGCCAAAATATGCTACCAATTAATATTATGAGTAACATTAATCTAATCTCCTTTCAGTTTTACAATATTTAAGTAGTGATAAAATGGTTTGAGATAATTAATACCAATGAATGGTGATGTTATAGTTTCCTCTGTTGTAAACATCAACAACGATGGTGTCTCCTTTATTAACATATAAAGTAGGACCCGGAAATTGGCCATTTACGGTAAGTATGTTCTTCGTGCTGCATAGTCTCGTATATGGAGCTTCCTTCACCTACAGAAACAATTTATGATAAATACAATGGCATATTGTTGTTTTCATATTTATGAAATATGTACTTACAACAAACTTGTAACGTGGCCACGCTTGGCAGTGGTAGAAAGAGAAAAAGAGTAGGAAGCCTAAGAGTTTGTAAATAGAGACTTTCATAATGGATAGTAATGAGTTGGGATACAAATAAATGAATCAAAGTGGGGTGGGGCTATAAATAGAGGCGAATAAGCAGGAACGGGCCAATGAAGGACAAGGGGGGGGCAGCCGCCACCCCAACCTTTTGAAAAACATTTAATATGGTACTCTAACTTTTATTTGTTAAAAATTTTGTTTTTATATTATGAATTTCAAGGACCATTAATTTTAAATATAGAGAAAATATTTAGGATCTAAAAAAAAGGTTTTCAAAAAATAAAGATATAGTTTATGTAAAATGAATTTATGTCAATTAATTAATTAAGAATTAGGGTTCTTAAATAGTTTTTCATGTATTAAGCCCAAAAAAACTTTGATTATCTATTTAAACAACTTTAAATTTATAGTTTTCTTTAGTATTCTTTTATTTTCTTTCTTAATATGTTATGTAATAATTTAAAGTTTTTTCCTTTTGCCATCAAGGTATATTTTTACCTTTTATGATTGAATTTATAATTTTTTTT